GGTGGAAATGGAGCAGAAAGGTAAGGTCCAGTCTGGGTGGTGGGCGTGTCCAGGGTTAACATAATCTTCTGACTGATTTCGGGTCCTTATGAGACAGAATCAACATCACAGGTTTTGGATTGTGGAAGTTTTACGTGTCTGGAAACAGTTTGATATTCCTCTCATGAGAGTTGGGGATTGTCCCTTCCTCCCGAATCTGGACGTTTCCAGCGACCCGCTTGTGAAGAATAGAATGCAGCAGAAGTGACGTGCCTCAATCCGGGGACTGCGTCAGGAGGAGCCCTACGGCTTCGTCCGGTCATCTCGGGCCTCCTGTCTCAAGCCTGGAGTTACTGTCTAAGACATCCAGCTGCACCGAGGTCTCCAGGCTCTGACGAAGCTCAGGCCCCCTGGAATGGCAGCGTAGCGCCCTGACCAGCGGCACCAGCTGAGGTCCCATCCGACAGCCCCTTAGTGACGTTCACCAGACGAGTGCGCAAAGACGCTTTGGATGGCTGGCTCCCCACCGGTTACCCCCAGCTGCCAAGTGGCCCCGGTGAAGGCCCCGGAGAAGGCGCAGCAGAGACGAGACGCCCACAGTGTCGTTCTGTGAGCGTGGACACGCCGCTGCTGTTGCCACCGTTTGCAGTGATCGGATCTGCACAGCTGCAGCCAGCGCTCGACTCAGGAGTCTGTCCAAGGGAGTGGTCAGTGGCATCAGGATGCAGTCAGACAAAGGTGACACGGGACATCCGGATTGGCGTTTGTTTTCCTTCCTCTAGAAGAATATACAACGCTGTGGGCCATGGGGTTGGCCCAGTGAGCTAAGAGAATGAACGGCTGAGCAATGTTGGGATCGACCTGTCCTTCCCTGTTGGGATAGACCTGTCCTTCGCTGTTGGGATCGACCTGTCCTTCCCCTCTCTTAGGAGGCGAGATTTCTCTTCGGTGACCTTCTCCGTCGCTCCCCACGAGATGGGGGTGGTGGTACCGCAGTGGCGAGACGTTTGAGAAGAGAAACCTGCTTCATCAGGTCCTCTGCTCCTCTCTTGGGCGCCAGCCGGGCCGCAGGCAACCCACATCCTCTGCGCCGTGGACCGTGTCGTCCGCTTAGGGGGCCCGGTCCTTGTAGGAAGACACGCGGCCTTCTAGCTGCTTCTGCGACTAGGACTAAGTCTGCAGATCAGGGAGCTCATTTCACCGCCTACCGGGTGCTGCCTCCTACAACTTACGTTTGTGGAAGATAAAGATGATGGTTTGTCCTCCGAAGGCCTTATTCCCAGCCTCATTTTTAGTATGTTCAGAACTCAGGTGGGGATGAAGGGCGCCACTTATTGGGTTTCCTTATGGTGCCAAAACAATTCATCTGTATTTCTGTCATCCATTCAATTATATTGTTTACAGTCGTGTAAGTTATCTAACATAGCAGAGAGTAAATCTTCAATGTTTTTACTAACTTATAGCAAATTTAAAAAATATATATAATGTATGACATCTTGTCCTAATCCTTAGAAATAGACTCCAGATGTACGCTTGGAAACCAGTCACTCAATATGTCACTACCATATTAAGAGCTTCTTTCAAAGGAATCAAATTTTGCATAATTTCTGGATTCTTAGCGTTACCTTTACTTTAACTGTCTGAATGCAATTTATCACCTGAAGAGGAGATAAAACATTTGGAGATTACTAAAAAAACACTTTAAGTGTTTTCAGCTGGGAATCCTATTCTAATAAAAAGAAATTTCAAAGGGCTGTTGGAAGATTTATTAACTTTTTCTCAGAGAGGAATCTTAAACAGTTTGTTACTCAATGCGATACACTTCTTTTCTAATGCAAACCACACTGGGATCACACAAAGGAATGGCCGAGTCCCTCGTCACTGAATTTCTGAGGACAGTGATGGTATGCTTCAGGACTGGCGATGGCCCAGCGTCTTCTTCTCTGGCCTTGAGAAAAATACAATCTTGAAACTTTTATCTCTGCGGGTAAAAATTTTTGTCTGAAGTTCTCCTACTGAGTTTTTGGTTTTATACCCCAGTCCTGTGAAAATTAGCCCATAAATTAGCTGTTTATTTTTTCTCTTTAACTGCACAGAATCTGTATCATGGCAAGGTTACCGTAAATTCACTGAGAATGTCATGTATTTGGGGAGTTAAGTAATTTCTTGTGCTTAGAGCAGAGGAATTGGAAGAATGTGGAGTTGTCACTATAATCAACTTCACATAAAATACCAAGGAGCTTGGACTTTATTTATTTGATAAACAGTGGGGAACCGTTGAAGGTTTTTAAGCAACAGAGCAACCTGGCGGGGCTTACATTATTAACTAGATTACCGTGGAGTCGTGTGTAAATGAATTTGTGGAGGCTCACACCAGAGTGAGTCGAATACCCATATGGGAAAAATGAAATTGGACTCCCACGTCACATCGTAAAAAAATTCTGGGTGGACTACAGGTAGGCATATAAAAAGCCACACTAAAAATCATTTAGTCAATAGATAATATCTCTGCATGGCAGGATAGGATTTCTTAAACAAGACATAAAAATCTTTAACTACAAAGAAAAAAAAATATTGATAAACATTATTATTAAAAACCTACCAGATTTTCAGTAATTAAAATTTTGTCAGCGCCTTCTATTGTCGACGCCGGCTACCATAATAAAATACTGGGTGGCTTAAACAAGAATTTATTTTTCAGAGTTCTGGAGACCGGGAAGTCCACTATAAAGGTGCTTGCTGATGAGGTTCCCAGTGAGAACCTCTTCCCGGCTCGCAGATGGCTGGCTCCCTTCTCACTGTGTCCTCACGGGCGGAACAAGAGAGAGGAAGTGAGTTCCCTGGTGTCTCTTCTCATAAAGACACTAGTCCCTTCATAAGGGCCCTGCCTTCATGCCCTCATCTAAATCTAATCACCTCCCGAAGACTTTATCTCCAGATGTTATCATGTGGGGGGTTAGGGCTTCAACACGAATTTTGGAGGGACACAATTTAGTTCCTAGCACACTTGTTTTCCATTTTATGCCTCTCACTCTCTCTGCTCCTACATTTGCTCCTGGAATATTCCCAGGTGCCCTAACTTTTGTCTCACGCTATTTTCAGTAGGAACCCAGGCGAAGGAGTCGGTACTGGAAGGCAGACTCTCAGGATGGAGAGTTGCAGAACTCACTGGCCAAGAGGCTAGAAGACCACGGCTGGCGGTAAGTGAGGATGTGAGTGAGGGAGAGACAAGTTCTGTCCTGGGGACCAACGGTAATTGTTAATGGCTGGTAATGGCTGGTCTGCGTGAAGCTTGGCCGAGTTCAAGAACCGAGGCTGGAAAGGTAAATGCATTGTAGGGCGTGTTAGACAGTTGGGTCTCTCTCTTAAAGCAAATGGGAAAACTTTGAAGGACTTTAAACTGTGGAGCAACATGGTCGTAATTGCATTGAGCATATGACTCTGAAGCACAGACTAGAGCGGGCCAGGTAGTGACAGGAGTGGTTGCTGGGAGGTGGGTGGGTCCAGAGGCGATTGCATCAGTCCAGGTGGCAAAGGGTGGTAGCTGAGACGAGGAGGTTGGACGCAGAGGCCATGGGACCCTTGCCTGGAATTTTAAAAAGAGCATTTCTGGATTTAATGGCAGATTTGGCCCGCTGACTGTAGTGGTGCCTCTGAATACCCTTTGAGACGCTGTCTGATTATTTCTCTAAGAGACTGATGATTTCTCTAAAAGGGAAGAAGCCTTTTATTAAAAATCACGATTTCCTCAATTTCTTTTGGTTTTAAATCTCTACTAGTTGACACAGTAAAAGGAAAATAATACCCATATTTCTCCATTTGAAACAGTATCAGTCAGCTACTGCTGCCTGACAAACACCACAGCATCTCAGCGTACAGCAGTAAGTGTTCATTTCTTATGCATTTGTGGGTCGGCTGGAGGTCAGCTGGTCTTGGTTAGGCTTTGCCGTGGTTTCTTCAGGAATAGAATGCAGGTCTGGCTGTGCCTAGATCCCCTCTGGGGGTCGGGCTCAGTTATGATCGTGGCTCATCATTCCGGGGCCCAGGCCACAGATGCAGCAGCTACCAGGGGAAAGCCCTTTGTGTAGCAATGACAGATGCACAAGAAGAAGTACTTGGTGCTCCTGAAGACCGATGCTTAGAAGTGGCATCGTGCTCCTTCTTCCCATATTCCACTGAGTGAAGGAGCTTGTATGGCAAAGCCATTACCGGTAACTCGGGGAAGTGTCCTCCGTCTCCACGAAGCCAGGGCAGGGTCGTGATGCACGCTGTTATCAGGGAACAGAGGGTTGGGGCTGGTGACTCAACCTGTCACAAAACTGAGCTGGATCATATTCTTTCCCTGAATCCTGGAAGGTTTCTGATAATTCCTTTGCTTCAATTCCCACCCCTCACTATTTAATCAAAAGTGGTTCCTTTCATTGTATGTTGTTCTTAAAGGGATGGCTAATAACTTCTTTTATAAAGAAGCTTATGTAATTTTGCAAAGTTTTTCTCAAAGGCAAAGTTGTAATGACATTGGAAAGCTGAATGCATTTCGATTCATAAGATCTAAGCTTTGTAGAAAGCAGACAGGATTCTCTGTGATTCTTAAAAGCTAAGTTTTAAAAATTGATAGCCAAGATCAGAATACTGAGTGTAGAATTTTACACTACCGAAGGAGAAATCTTTTTTTAAATTTTATTTTTTAATGCCAGTTTATTTTTTTTTCATACTATATATACATAATTTTTAAAAAACATTTCATTTTTTTATTTTCTCCCTCCCCCCTCCCTTCTGGTAACCACTAGTACATTGTCCGTGTCCATGAGTCTCTGTTTGTTTGTCCTGTTCATTTGTTGCTTTTTGGTTTCTATCTTACATATGTGATATCAAGTGATTTTCAACCTTTTCTGTTTGGCTTATTTCACTTAGTATGATTATTTCAGGGTCCATCCATGTTGTTATAAATGGCAGTGTTTCATCTCTTCTTATGGCTGAGTAATATTCTATTGTGTAAATGTACCACAGCTTCTTTATCCAATCATCTATTGTAGGACACTTTGGTTGCTTCCATATCCTGGCCACTGTGAATAATGCTGCTATGAACATCGGTGTACAAATGTCTTTTTGGATATGAGTTTTCAAGTCTTTGGGGTAAATACCCGGTAGAAGGATTGCTGGATCACATGGTCGATCACTTATTAGTTTTTTGAGGAAACTCCATGCTGTTTTTCATAGTGGCTATACCAATTTTCAGTCCCACCAGCAGCGTGTAAGGGTTCCTATTTCTCCACATCCTCTCCAACATTTGTTATGACTTGTCCTGTTGATTATAGCTATTCTAACAGGTGTGAGATGGTATCTCTTTTTGGTTTTGATTTGCATTTCCCTGATAGCCAGCGATGTTCAGAATCTTTGCATATATTTGTTGGCCATTTGTATGTCCTCTAGGGAGAAGTGTCTGTTCAGGTCCTCTGCCGATTTTTTGATTGGAATGTTTTTTGTTGTTGTTGTTGTTGTGTCGTATGAGTTCTTTGAATATTTTGGATATTAGGCTCTTATCAGAGGTGTTGCTTGCAAATAGATTTTCCCATTCGGATGGTTGTCTCTTTACCTTGTTGACGGTTTCTTTTGCTGAACAGACGCTTTTCAGTTTGATGTAGTACCATTTATTTATTTTTGCTCTTACTTCCCTTGCCTTTGAGGTCAAATTCATAAAATCCTCTTTAAGCCCAAGGTCCTTGAGTTTAGTTCCTATGTTTTCTTCTATGCATTTTATTGTTTCAGGTCTTATATGCAGGTCCTTAATCCATTTTGAATTAATTTTAGTGTGTGGTGATAGACAACAATCTAGTTTCATTCTTTTGCAGATGGCTTTCCAGTTTTCCCAGCACCACTTATTAAAGAGGCTTTCCTTTCTCCACTGTATATTTTTGGCGTTTATGTCAAAAATTATTTGCCCATATAAATATGGATTTATTTCTGGACTCTCGATTCTGTTCCACTGTTCCATGTGTCTGTTTTTCTGCTAATACTATGCCATTTCGATTACTGTTGCTTTATAGTATAATTTGAAGTTGGGCAGAGTGATGCCTCCAGCCTCATTCTTTTTTCTCAGGATGGCTTTGGCAATTTGGGGTCTTTTGTGCTCCCTTACAAATCTGATAATTTTTTGTGCTATTCAAAGGAGAAATCTTTGATATTGTAAAATACTTATTGCTTTATCATGAAAGAAAAACGTTTTAGTTTCTAGGTTAGAAAAAATGTTTCTGAGGGGCCTTGGTTTGTATAAATGCTGGCAGATGACAAGAATCCTCTCAGTGGGGTAGTGACAGATTTGGGAGATTCACAGATTAGGGCTTTCGTGCCTGGCCTTCCAGATTGCAAGGGGCAAAACATAAAATCTATTTAAATGATCAGTGGCTGAGGGATGGTGTGTAGGCACATGGGCCTGACGATAGCCTCTTAGAATTCAATGTACTACATGATTCCCAAGCCTGTCATGGGAGAGGAAGTCCTCAGAAGACCCCTGCGCCAGAATGAGAAAGTGTAGAATGTGTGACAAGTCAAGATTAATTGCCGTAAGAGACTGGTGACACCCGTGGCAGATACTGCTTCCAAACACCTGCAAGTACCAGGATGTAGTAAGACACAAGATAGCAGTGACTAAGACGGCCCACATCTCCAACTCAGGATGAATGACAATCACACGCTTCTGTTTACCTCTCGCTCCGTGGGACCCAGGTAACGCCTATGAAAAGAAAGGGGAAGGAGCCTTGGAGGAACCTTGAATACACATTTTAATGCTTGTGTCACACGGGGTGAGTTTGTAAAATGAGGTGAGGGGTCACTTGCTTTACAGAATGAGGTGGTGTCAGGGGATGAAGAGCTTTGGAGTTAGGCAGACAGGTGGCCATGGATCCATCTGGATATCTACCGACAAGGTCTCAATTTCCAACGTGGACGTGACTGAGTTACCTTGAACTGGGGAAAATCAGAGCTTTCTGCCATCAGTGGAAGTAGGGGTCAAAATTCAGGTCACCTGAAAGTTGAATTTACTCATAAGAAAACAGAAAAATTTACATTTCTACACATGTGAGTTGTTACTATGAAATATAAACACACACGCATATCACTTGGAAGTGAGAATTCTCAAGATGCTTAGTTCTTAAATGTCTGGTCACAGCCACTTAAGGTAAATCGATGTCTCCTGTTTTGTAATGCTTTCGAATTACCGTTTTACCATGCAATTGTTTTGATTTTTATTGTTTCAGTTCTTCACGTTTCCAAGGTTAGAGATTAATGTGACTAGGTACACAATCAAACGTAATGAGGAGCAGAATCAAATTCTTCTCCCATGACATCAGCCAAAGATCCAAGAGTTCTCGACCCCAAACTTGAGCACCTTGGCTCAGCTATCAAAGTCACAGCCCTCCAGAGCCTTGTACACAACCTAGTACCATTCAACAGAATGAAGATTTATTCACTCGAATGGATTTATTTACTGAAGTCTTTCTTGTTGCCAGCACAAGGTGAAATGGAAAGTTGGAAATCAGCCTGTAAAGCTGGTCAGCTTAGGCAGCCAAACCAGATAATTAGGACAAAGCTATACTCAGCACCATATTCTTAGAACTTGTAGCGTACAAATTATCTGCAGCTGTGAATAACTTCTAATATTTAAGCGCTGGGTAAAAAAACGTTGCTTTTTGACCCAAACTGTCTGGCTTGGCTTGTTTTGTAAGCATTATGGCCAACTTTCCATTTGCTTTATGTTTTACAGGCTTGGGCAAAATCTGGACTGCTAAGAAACTGGGTAATTTGTTCTTAATTTTGTAAAATAAGGGGAACTATTTAACAAGTTGTTTATTATTCATTGAGCTAGACTATCTCTTGATAAATGATTTAAAAAACCAGAATGTTAATTTTTTGTTTATTTGGGAATTGAGATTTAGAAATAATTTGTCTAGTTCAAGGAAAGAAGTAATGTTAACACTGAACATAGCTAGATTCGTCTGGATCATTCCAAACAGACTAATTAAACGAATGGGATCAACGTTTCTCTTTCAGAGAGAGCTGGTACACATTCCCAGGAAACTCTGTGGTTTAACAAAACGTTCTGGAAGAAAAAAGATAAAGGAGATGAAAAATATATTTAAAAAAGATAGACCAAACTGGGATGAGTCCAGAAAAGGGACTTAAAGCTTTCTGGTGAGGAGGTAAATGGGCAAATAAATGTTACAGTTTTCATTCCTGAGGCATAGACCGTGGAAGGTGGAATCTAAAAGAAAAATTACAAGGTGAAGAAAAGGGTCGCATCATTATCAGCATGCACTCAAACTGTATCATTAGCTCTAAGAACGTCTTCCAAAGCAACATATGATATTTTCATTCTTGGAAGTTGTCTCTTCCTAACTAGAAAAACAATGCCAAGATAAAGGAATTGGATTGCTTTCCTCCCTTAAATTTGAAACCTGGTCATTGTTTTCCGTGTTACAGGATGTCTACAGCTGTAAATAATTTGCACTCCGGAGTTATAAGGAGGCAGAGAGAAGTGCCGGGGAGCTGGAGAGGGGCCAGGCAGCGAGGGAAGGCTCATTCCATGCGTCCTGCAGAACCCAGGAAGTTAGTTCACTTCACGCGTGGTAAAGAGCAGGTCAGATTTACTCAAAGGTTTTTAAAGTTAATCTTCTAGATCTTAATTTTTTTCCATAAAGTTTTCGTATAAATGTATCTACTGAAATTTATAAAAAAATTAAATGACCGAAAACCCTTGCTACATGGCATCCTAATATAAATTTATCTTCACAGTACATGAATACTAAAGTATGACCATTCTTTAGCAGCTTCGCGTAAAACCTGTATTCAGTTTTAACAGATACAATTATTTTAAGCAATACAATTATTTACTCAGGTGTTCACTAGCATCTTTCGGTAGGCAGCATTGAAGTTATTTTATTTTATTTTGAAGTTATTATTTTAATTCATGCTTAAATTGTTCCAGTTTTAAGTTCTGCTTCCTTTGCGTGTTAGGGGTCATCTTTGCTTACAGGGTTGCCATTGTTTCTTGGCCCTTTTATTTAACAAAGCTAGGTTATATATATTTTATAAACTGTATAGTTTTATATCGTTAAATCCTGGTTCTTGAAGATACTAGAAGTGATAATATTAACATATCGCAGGTTAAATATGTTATTTGTGTTGTCTGTAATATATACACAACAGTCTTGGATAACATTACCAACGCCATCACCAAGAACGTTACCAGTAGTCATCACCATGACTATTGAAAATAGTTTAACATTTTTACAGCTTTTTTAGTCAAATTATTGGAATTGAAATAACTTGGAATTGTTAGTCCCTGTGCGGTCATTGCCACTAACCTGATCTGCATGTAAGTTTATTGGTTTCATTTTATTTTGCAGTTTTAGAGATCGATTGTGTTTTAATTTGATTTTACATGGTCTGAAAGTTGAATCTGCTAAACAAGGTGTACTCAGAGAAGTTGAGCTATCCTGTTCTTTCTATCCAGTAATTCCAATAGTTGTCACTTAAAATATATGTTTTATTCTATAATTTTTAATATATATTGATTAAATAATCAATATTGCTCTTCCTTGTCACTTAAAATATTATAGTTTACCCACTTATTTTTAATATATATAGATAAAATATTTTATAATATATGTGTATTGAATTATACATATTAAAATTCATGTATATATTCATTGATTGCATGAGGGTATTAATTAAACCACTGACTAATAAATTTAACTAGTGAGGTAGCAGTTTCTGGCAAGGAAATGAGAGACATAGCTCAGCAAACAGCATGTACTTGTGATCGAGTAGTAGAAAAGCAACTTTATGGTAATTCGATGTACTTTGAAATCTTGAAATAATCAACATTTTTCCTCCCCATAAGCCTTACTGTCTTAGCACATTTTTTTTAATTAATGACAAAAGTTACTAGTTACTGAGTTTAAAATCTTTATTTGCCAGCAAAGAAATTTTCTTGGTTAATATTCCATATATAACATCATCTAGCTTTATCTAAGTTTTGTTTCCTTTTTTATCAACCAATTTACTCTTTATGAGGTCATGTT